TTTTTTCATTTTGTCTGCTATATTTTGTATCATCTTCTATTTTCTATCTATTATATCTATTCTATTTTATTAATGACTTTATAATATAATAATATATTTTTTTTCTGCCTAGAATCCTAGTGGGGTCAAGGCATGTGGCTGGACAAGTCAAGCGTCGCATGTCCAGACTTTTCCCTTCTCTTTTCCCGGACAAGGAATTCTTCTTAGCGGTGATCATTCACTCCCATGGGTTGCCATGTGTTTGTTGCTGGCAAAGTCAAATTGCTCATCCATTTTGGCTCTGGGATAGATAGTCACTTATTATTATAATATTATTATTATTACCATTAGTATCCCTCCTCTTTTCCTATTCCCTTCTTTCAAAAACAAGTAAATAAAATAATACAAGAAAATACAAAAAAAAAACCCAAGCAAGGGAGAGAATGAGACACAAGCCTTCCCCCTCTCCCTCCCTCCCACCGGAACCAGGAAACTGATTCTCTGTACCTCACTCCCTACTAGGCAAGGGAGGAAGACTGAGGTGAAAGAATCATCATTCCATCGCCGACCAGTCAAGTCAGATCATGGGTGGCGTTGTAGAAATGCCCCCCGGTCACTAGTGCAGCCTCCGGCGAACTGTCATGACACTTTGATACGGGTATTGATACTGTTGGCTTTCGGTTCTCTTGCTTGGTGCTAATATAATCTACAGTAGAATTATGGTGCAAGTTGGCTGAAAGTGTACAAGCGAGGTAAAAGTACAGACCCCTACTTGTCAGTTCTTAAAGAAAAGGAAGTGTCTAATTCTATCAGTAGATTCTTAGATAGTATACACAGCACTCTAGGTATGGGTATGGGTGATTGAAGCGAAAAGTCCAGAAATACAGAGAATTACCGCATACGGTACTCCGTAGGTCACCAGCCAACCGTGCCCGGTCGACCCCTGAGGGAGATCGTTCAGTGCGGCCACGTGAAGGCAGACCGCATCGAGATCGTTGCCGACCGAGGGTTGGCTTCTTTCCGTTGTTTTACTTTCTTCTTTCTTCTTTCTTTTTTCTTTCTTGTATCCCACGCGACTGCTGGTGTAATCGCTAGTAATTTTGGATCCACTAGTATTGCTCTTTAAACAGCCACCTATCTGTCTATTTACCTCTGCTTTATCCCTTGTCTTCATCATCTGGTAATGACTCTGGGGAATATACTGAGGAAAAATCAGGGGGTCACCATCCAGACGTGCGAATCCAATTCTCCATAACTATCAAATGATATGGCTCTCATTCTGTCTACAAAACTGCAGGTACCTAGATCACTACAAAGGTACAAAGGTACGACTAGCGGGTATGCCCCGCTACACCAGGCCCAAGCTTGGATGATTCGACGGAGATCAATCATATCAGGCTGGATACATCATTTTAAACAGCACCATTCCCAATGACGAGACTGATAGAAATCGATCTCTCTGTGTGTGAACACCACAGCCTACATACCAATATACGTATGGCAGGGCAATCCAAATTCCAATGATGCAGAGAATGGCATTGATGATGTAATGTGGAGGAACTTTCTTTCTTGTCTGTTCTGTCGTTCTGTCTCGAAGAATGGTAGACCTGGCAGAGATAGAGACAAAAAATGGAAGCTAAGGTACTAAGGTTCGTCCCTCCCTTGATGGATGGGATCATGAATGGAACGAATAGGATTGGACGAAGGTGAGTCTGTTTTCCACCCACACCACGCCAACAAGACACATGAGTGGTAGCACAGTAGTCGTTATTATCACCACTTGACAACAGAGTTCAGGGTAGGTTCCTCCCTGAAACGACACTGTCCCCTCGCATGTTTTCTGCTCTGCTACCCCACCAGGCCGCCCCAAAGACCCCAGGAACTAGAACAAGAATCACACAACTTGTCTGAGACAACCCTGGCCACATGATCGGTGATCAGCAACGTGTTTCTTATTTTGTTTACATTACTCTTATCTGTATCCTTGTTTTTTATTTTTCTCTTTCTTTTACTGATTTGTGTGACCACCTAGGAAACAACCATAAGATCCATCTGGCTGGAAGATTCTTCAGGCCACAAGGACACAGAAACATGTTGCAGAGAATGATGCACTTGGTCATGCCCGCTTGGGCCATCTTGATTTGTTCGTCCTGTGTTGGATCGTCTTCTGCGTTCCATGGATTTGTCCTGGCCCCACTTCCCGGGCTGGTCCAAGCTATCATCCATTTCGACTCCCCTGGACTGAAAATACAATGGTAGTTTGATGTGAGAATCAAATAGAGTATGAAATAGAATATAAAATGCAACGAAATAGAACGAAAACAAGAAGTGATAAAGCGGGAGACAATAAGTAAGACTAGGTAGACAAATATAGGATAAGTTAAAAGTAGGAAGACAAGTAAGAAAAATAAATTACAGTCATAACGACCGGGAGAAAAAGAAAAAATCGAAAAACGTCAAGGTGGATGCCAATGACAGTTGGTGTATCTGTAATCCAGATTGTAAACATGTAATGCAAAGAGAAAGAAAAACAGATTGATCAATACGGAGAAAAGGGAAAAAGGGAAATACTCCGTCAAAAGTGGCCCCAATCGCAAGACTGATGATCCTCCCAGGCGTGTGTGGACTGTGGCCCCGGCTCGAAGACACCACCAGATGGCGTGGGGCGGGGAGACAGGAAAGAAGCCGCCATGGGTCAGGGTGGGAGAACTGGTCGGTCCAGATCGACATGAGGATTGCCTAGTGGAGGTCAGATCCTTTGCCTAGTTCGGGCAAGGTCTGGTCAGGTACGGGAAATACATCCATGAAAATCATTACAAGTATGGAAAATATTTTATACATAGATGTATATATGTATTCAAGTAAACAAAAATATATAAATATGAGAATAAATATAAGTATGAGATAAAAATTTGAATAAAAAAGAATAGAGTGAAAGATGAAACGGGGGGATAAGATAAGGTGGTACAGACGGATTCGTGTGGACGGATACAAGAAGAATCGAGTCTGATGGCAGAACCGGACAACTCCAGCTCCGCAACAGAACGGTTTTAGAGTAACATGTCATTATTTCACTTAATCCTGTACCTGGCATTGAACCACTTATCACTGGTCTGATCAAGGATCTGGGTAGTAGTTTTCTATCTTATATCTCCTTTACTTGGTAATTATAGCTATCTGGTTATTATTATAGCGATTATAGTGGTATAATTATGCATACTTTATGACCTAGTACGACTTACTATGCTTACAATACTCTTTCTGTCAAGACGGGAAATGTGGACGGACGGACAGCTTAGCTCTGGGACGGCGTCTTTGGCCCTGGATTCCTCCCCCAGAGAAAAAGCCGGCGGACGCCTCGTGGCGGTGGGTTTATTTATTTAATTTTTTTTTTTTTTTTCAAACAATTATTTTTTTTTCTTAATTTCTTTTTATGTTTTGGCTCCTCTCAGGTCATGACATGTGCTTTTTTCCTGTGGAGTTTCGAATTTTCAATCTAGTCGATGAATTTTAATTTCCAATTTACTTCCTTCAAGGCTTGTGTCATCAGTGACATCTATCTTTTCATATAAAATCAAAAATATACCATGACATACCTCCCCCTCTCAATTTAGACAGTATATCTACAACATATTACACTCTTTGTTTCTTCCCATCCTACAATCGAAGACTGAGGGTCGATCAGGTGTGGCACCGGCTAGATTCGCTAGTCCCTTCGATAACCTCTAGCCACTCAAACCCTCCCGCAAGGTGGTATTGTTGTGACTGTCGGGCCACGCTAAGGTGGACCTGAAATGACATGGGGGTGGAATTTGCCTGAAGAGCATTGGTTAGGAGGGTGTTCTTGTTGTGTGTCACGTTGGAAGGTGGAAAGAAGCGTGGTGCAGGTTGCTGGATGCACAGAAGGAAGGGTGTGCCTGTATCACGATTTCATCCGAGTAAACATACAAATATTGAACATTAGAATTGAATATATATAATATCAAAAATAAAGTAGAATAATAGGGTAAATAATAATGTAGAAAAATAAGGTGAATGATAGTATAATATAATACAGTATGAATAACTAAATCAAAATCCAGTGTAAATTACCAGATATTAAGGAAGAGGATCAAGATATCAAACAGCTGCCCACCAGCTCAGACCTGTCATTGTGGTGATGATAAGGATGATGAGTTGACAAATACTCATAATGATAATAACCTCAAACAGAACAAAGAGAACACTCCGGATGAATATGGATCTGATGTTGGATCTGCGGAGGTGTGTGGTTGTTTAAATGCCATTCTTAACCATCTGATCTCTCCCGCTTCCTCCCCCCTCTCCTCTCTCACCCCTGTCGGATTCTCCTAATCCATACATGGCGAGAATCCTATCATCGTCACTGTCCAGTCGAGTTTCTTGTCATTCTTCTAGATCATATAATTCCCTCTGGTCTCCTATTTCTTTGAGTGAAGGAAAACACAACAGAATCACGGACAGAAACAAAACGGAAAAGTACAAGATTTTCCCTGCTCCACCCGGGACGCCCTTGATCTGGACATCATTGATAGCTCCCGCCGACTAGTTCTGTCTTTGGATCGAGTTCCAAACTGCTGTTTTTAATTATTATTCTTTTCGTTTTATTTTATTTTCTATCTTATTTCTTCCTTTCTTTTTTTTTTTTTTTT